GGAGCATTCTGACTGTACTTCTTCCAAGACAGATTTGTTCATTCTTCTGGCAGTCCATGATATTTTCAGTATTCTTCACTGGCACCACAGTTAAAATGCGTCAATTCTTCTTCAGTCTTCCTTATTCATTGTCCAGCTTTCATATGCATATGAGGCTATTGAAAATATTATTGCTTGAGTCAGCTGCACCTTAGTCTTCAAAGTGGCATCTTTGCTCTTTAACACATTAAAGAGGTCTTTTGCAGCAAAATTGCCCAGTGCAACATGTCATCTGATTTCTTGACTGCTGGGTCCATGGGCATTGATTATGGATCCAAGTAAAATGAAATCCTTGACAAACTTTAACCTTTTCTCCATTTATCATGATATTGCTTATTAGTTCAGTTTTGAGAATTTCTGTTTTCTTTATGTTGAGGAGTAATCCATACTGAAGTCTTCAGTCTTTGTAAGTGCTTCAACTCTTCTTCACTTTCACCAAACAAGGTTGTATCATCTGCATATCGCAAGTTGTTAATGAAATGAGTCTTCCTACAATCCTGATGCCACATTCATTTTCATATAGTCCAGCTTCTTGGATTATTTGCTCAGCATACAGATTGAATAAGTATAATGAAAGGATACAACCCTGATGAACACTTTTCCCAATTTTAAACCATGGCGTATCATCTTGTTCTGTACAGTTTCCTCATGAGCACAATTAGCTGTTCTGGAATTCCCATTCTTCATAATGCTGTCCATAATTTCTTATGTTCTACAGAGTCAAATATCTTTGCATAATCCATAAAACACAGGTGAACATATTTCTGATATTCTTTGTTTTCAGCCAAGATCTATCTGACATCAGCAATGATATCTCCCATTCTATGCCTTCTTCTAAGGACTTTGGTGGCATAGTGATAAAACATTGGGCTGCTAACCAGAAGATTGGTGGTTCACACACACCAGCTGCTCTGTGGGAGGAAGATGACGCAGTCTGCATCTGTAAGGATTTACAGCCTTGGAAACCCTCTGGGGGCAGTTCTACTTTGTCCTACAGGGTCACTATGAGTCAGAATCAACTCCATGGCAGTGGGTTTGGTTTTTTGGTTTTGTGTAAATACATGGTTTAGGATATACACACTTACCATCTTACTCTGTCAGCTGAAAGGGCCTAAAAGCAACAACAGCCCAGTAGAAATGAGCATATCAAGTGCACAGATCTTATTTTCTAATACCGCTCTTTGGAGAAATGGCTGATTCTAGGACTAGGGCAGGAAATGTACAAGATGAGCCTGGTGCATCTTGTCATACTAGAAACAAAAAGGGAGTGCTAAAAAAACAAAGAGCTTCTGAAGGAGCTCAGTGACCAGGAATGGAACTATTTGAGCAACAAAATTAATGAAGCACCATGGGATTGTTACCTACAGTATTAATAAATATCAGGAGCCCATACTGATATAAATGTTTGAGTAAATAAATGGGAGGGATTAGACAAATCTCTTGTGCCAAAGAATTCCAGACAATGTATGTTGAGCCTCTGCTATTAGGGAGGTGGAGTAGAACTCTCTACCTCTTAAGTGTGGGTTGTGCACAGTGAATTATTTCCACAGAGAAAAGTACAGAAAAGAGGAAGGAAAAAAGAGTAACTTTAGAGTAGAGAAGCCTGACCAACATTAGTTCAGCCAGGTGATCAAGGTCCATATCAACAGTGCTAAGTCATATTGACAGCATGTACCCTTGATAGGATTGTGATGAGAATGGCACTTGACCTCTGTGGTCTTCCTCCTGAAACCCAAAACCCAAGTCGCACCATGAGAAAAACATTAGACCCCAATGGAGAGACATTTGACAAAACACTTGATCAGTGACAACAATGGACTGTGAAGGTCATTGAAAACAAGAAAAGTCTGAGAAGCTGCCATAGCTAAGAGGAGCCTAAGACAACATGACGACTAAATGTGAACAGGAAAGGGATGTGAGGGGAAAACAGGAAATCAGAATAAAGTTTGGACTTCGGTTAATAGTAATGTGTCAGTACTGCTTTATTGATTATTACAAATGCTCTGTACTGGTTTAAGAAGTGAATATTAGAAGAGACTGGTATAGGGGAAGGCGGGGGAGAAAGAGAGAGACCCCCCCCCCCTCAGGCCACAGAGAGGCTGCTGTGAATAAGGAGTCCTGCAGCCAGATCATGTCTTGAAAATCAAGTTAGCTACTGTGTGGGCCACACACCATCCAGCCCCAGCCATACACACCCACGCTGCTGGTCTAACCAGGGGCTGAGGAAGCATGGAAAAATCCCAGTGCTTCCTCATTAAATTGCTAAGCCAGTTTAGCTGTGAAGAATACAGAGAAGAAATGCATTAAAGAATTAAACATCAGTATTTCTCTAAATGTGTTGCCTTCTGATACAGACAGAAAGCCTCCTGGGCCCCTCAGAGAGCCTGCTGGGTGCCCATGCCTGGCCCCTGTGTGTGTTGACAGGCTCTGCTGCTAACAGCGATGACAACACTGGCTCAGGCACTGCCACCCTGACCCTGCGTCCTCCTCCCTCCCCAGAGCTCTCTGTCCTTTGCCCTTCTCCCATCCACCCACAGCTTAAGCTCGGGATATCATAGAAGTGTCTGTGATCCACCCCAACCACAGGGGTGAGAGAACCAAGGCTTCCAGTGGGTTCATTCCAGTTTGGCCCCTGCTGAGAATTTGCATTTGCACCCCATATATAAGAATCAGAATCTCCATGTGTACGTAAGATTCACCTGGAGATCTTGTTAAAATGCAGAGTTGGCAGAGGCCACTGCCTCATCAGAGCCTCCAGGGCCTTCTCCAAGCAGCCCCACTTCAAAGATGCCCTATCCCCAGGCCTAACCAGCCTAGTCTAAGTGTACCTTCCACACCTCAGCCAGCGGCTCTATAGCTTCCCCAGCAAACATCAAGCAGCAATGGGGCCTTCTGAAACTTTCCTCACAACCCCCTGCTCCTTCCCTCTCTGGCTGCTGGCTCTCTGGCCTCGCTCACTTCTCCTGGGTTTACTGTCTGTTTGCCCTCCTCACCCTTAGTTCTTTGATGAGTGTGAGGTCAAAGTAGCCAGTTTGTTTGGAGTCCTTCTGCCCTGAGTTCGTGTTTTTCCTTCTCCTCCTTCTGTCTTCTGTTGCTGGACCACAGCAGTAACAGCTAAAAGGTGGCAGAAATCTGGACTATAGAGTTCAGTTCTATAGTTGCTGGACTGAAAAGGAATTTAATTCACTCTGTAGACCCACACCAGCCAAGCCCAACAGGATGTGGGTTTGCCTTCATTAGCTGAACTGAGATGAGTTTCTATAATGGTTAAGAGACCTTTGAGTGAACAGTGGGGAGTTGAGTTGCCTTATAAAGGAAATGTGAGGTTAGATCAGCTGTCTTCTGTAGTGCCTGTAATGGCACAGCCCTGCGTTGGCTTGGGAGAGCCCTTTGATCACCAGGCACAGCTGCTGTGAACAGGAATAGAGCCTTCGCCACTTGGGCTCCACGTGTCCAAGGGAGATGCACATCCGGCAAAGGTCGTGTCTGGCATGGTGTGCGTGAGACTTCTGTGTAGAACCAAGGGGTGACAATACCAACCAGGGGCCCAGGCTGCACAGCGTTTGCTCCCTCGAGCAGAGCCTGGCTCAGCCTGGGTAGCCCTGGCCAACTCGGCTTCATGAGCTCCAGCACTACTTCCAAGCAAGTGAGTGGCCAGGGAGAGCTGGCACTAGGAAGTGTGAGCGGTCACTTATACTTGGCATCATGCCCCATACAACCCATTGCGCCCATAGCATGTGGTCTGTGAGAGGCCTTTCCCCTGACACATAGTCTGAGGGAGGAAGAAGACCCTGATACCAGAGCAGCTGGTCACCCAAACAGAAGGGCCCAATGAGGAATCCTGAGGAAGTGGACAGGACTGCCATGGCTAACTAAATGTTGCCCTGAGGCTGCTATGTGAACTGACCCACAGAAAGCAGATGTGTAGGTTACTTTTTCGAAAACTTATTGTTGTTAGCTGCTATCTAGTCAGCCCCCAACTCCTGCTGACCTCATGCACAACAGAACAAAACACTGCCCTGTCCTACGATCGGTTCAGAAACGTAGGGCTTAAAGCTAAACCAAAACCACACTCACTGCCATTGAGTCAGATCCTTCTCATAGCGACCTCTCCTTGGGTTTCTGAGGTGGTATCACTACAGAAGTAGATTACCCAGTCTTCCTTCCGAGGAGTGGCTGGTGGGTTTGAACCACCAGCTTTCTGGTTAGCAGTCAAATGCCTTAGGCAGAATGCCACCAGAGGTCCCAGGGCTTAAAGCTGCTTGTGTCATAAATCACAGATTCCTCACACAGCTAAATTGTTGTGAGAGTCTCACCCCTACCTCCTCTTTTCTCAACTGAAATTCCCAGGGAAATACTTATGGGTCCCAACAGCCAAGAACAAACACCTTGAGGCTGTGTTTATAAGAACCAACAATTCCTGTGTTTCCTCCTTCCCTGTGAGAATCAGGTGTTACAGCCTTAGATGCCTATTAAAAAAAAAAAAAAAGTGGGCTGGACCACTCGCCTGAGAAGGCCATATACAAGCTGTGTGGAAACAGGTGGTACCTCCCTTTGGCATTTCCACTTCTCATGTGAGTGCAAGGCTTTGCAGAAAGTCAAGCCACAGCATGTTGGTTTGCCTTCTCTCCCCGCTGCAAACAGTCCCAAAGCTTATGGTGGCATCTAGCCAGTGCTCGTCTCAGGACAGCCTCCTCTGTAGCCTTGTGGCTAACACCATTCCCAGTGCACTGAACCTCAGTGCAGGAGAGAGTGATCGTTAGGCAATCACTCTGCTAACTTCAGAGCCAGCCTGGGAAAACAGACTTGCTTTGCTAATCACCTTGAGGGCGAAAGAAGAGACCTCAGTGCTGTACTTCAGAGCTAATAAAAATGTGGCTAATTTTCAGCGACAGGGTACAAGTGGAACAGAAAATGTCTGGGAAATGTTTTAACTTGCCTGCTCACTCTCCTCATTGTAGATGGCTCAAACTGAAGAGATAACCCACGAGATCATTGGCTTCCTTGACCAGACACTATACAGATGGGATCAGCTTTGTGTCGAAGCCCCTAAATCTGGAAGAGTGGCCAGACAGCTCCTCGCAGAGCTGCGGACTCAAGTGGACCACGTGGAGGCTCAGGGAGGCCCTGGGACAGTTTAGGAGTTTGTGCAGTAAGTGCCCTCTCTGAGCTGTGAGGATAAGCATTACCTCTCGGGGAGCATGCATTGCACAAAACAGGAAGATGGGTGCTTCAGCTCAAAGTGGATTATGCCTTCAGCATTCCCTCTACCTGCTTAGGTAGGACATTAGAGAATCACTGAAGAAAAGTTTAGAGAGAAGTGATTTTTTTTTTTTTGCCCTTTTTTCCCTGTATCAAGCCAAGATGCACAATCATTATTTGAGTATTTCTAAGCCTTTGCACCAAGAAATTGGTGCTGAATCACTGATGAATTTAGAAAGTAACTGAGCCCTTTCCACAAGTCTCCATTTTTGTTTTTCAGGTTTTTTTTAAGAAATCAGGTAATTGCTATTGTTATTTTATTTGCGCCAGAGGGATCTGAGGCTTTCTTTGTATAAGATAAAGCTAGACTCTCCTGCTTTCCTAAAAAATTCTTTCTCCAAAAGAGTCAAGATCCTTCAAGTTTCCCTTGAGTCTCCCCGACCTGCCCAAGGGGAAGCAGAACACACCCAAGCCAGTGACAAGGGGAGGTGACGGGCCACTGGGCAATGGTGGACACATTTGCATACCCTCTGAGAGCGGCACCCCTTAGGGAGAAAATAAAGCCAGTATGAACGCTAACCCTTTTTGGTTTGCATTTTGCTAAATAGTGACAGCTATGAAAATACCTGTACTTCAAAGATGGCCAACAGGTGAGGGTGTAGGATGTGTTTTAGAAGCATTGCAGGAGATTATTGTATCAGTTGTTCTGTTTAACTAAAATGGCCATTTGGCATTCCTAATAAAGAATTGGTAACTCTGTGTTAATACTAACTTCATGTTACTTGAGGATAATTTTTTTCCTTGTAGATTTATTCTTAGTTTGTATTAACTGAACATTCTTTTGTGTGTATTGTGTTTGTCACATGAGTCAAAACTTTCTTTTAGGTTCACCTTGATTTATGTATTAGTAATCTCAGATGCACTTAATCTTGGCTCCTGTTTTGAGGTATGAGTAGAGTTTTGTTGGATTCGAAATTGAGTTTTTAGGGGAATTACTCATTTCAGTGTATGGCTGGCTGATAGATCCATCTAAAAATCTAGAAAATTCCAAGAACTTTTGACCTGGGCCTGCCTTCTGTGAAATGTTACAGTGAGAAAGGTACACTATTAAAATATTTTTATCATAGCTACTGTCATCACTCTTTTCATATAAAAATGCTTCATTGAAATGTATAGTAATTGAAAAAGGAGTTGTGTGCTTCACTTGGACATTTGAACAAGAGCTGGGGGATCTTATGCAGAATCTTTGGCCAACTCTGTGGCTATGATGAAAGGGGCTCAATTCAGTGACAGAGAGTAGCCCTAGTAGAGGGGCCACTAGGAATCAGACTACCCTGCAGTGGGTCTGAGTCCAAGTAATAATCCATTTTTACCTACCAGCCACTCCTCAGAAGGAAAGGTGTGCAATCTACTTCCATAATGATACTGTAGTGATACTCAGAAACCTGAGGAGGAGTGGCTATGAGTTGGATCTGACTCAATGGCAGTGGGTGTTACTGCAACGTGGTCATGTTTACCAGAATTCTCTACTTCCGCCCATCCCTTCTGCTCAATGTATTTCACAGTAAACAAAAACAGAGTGTTCAAGCTACATTTCTGAAAGACTCCTTCCTAGTCTCACCTCACCCCATCCTGTCTGTCACATCTCCCAATTCCTTTACAAGGCTTCTAAGCCACCATGCTTTAGCCACTCAATCTGTCTTAAGCTGAATTGAGTATTCAATCTAATGAGTCATGTTGTTGTTGTTAGGTCCTGTCGAGTTGTCTCCAACTTATAGTGACTCTGTGCCTAGCAGGACGTAACACTGCCCAGTCTTGTGCCAGCCTCACAATCCCTGCTATGCCTGAGCCCATCGTTGTAGCTACTGTGACTGTCCATTGTGTTGAGGGCCTTCCCTTTCTTCGTTGACCCTCCAGTTTTAACAAGCATGATATCCTTCTCTAAGTAGGTGAGATGAAGTCTGGCCATTTTTGCTTCCAAGGAGCATTCCAGCTGCACTTCTTTCAGGACAGATTTGTTAATCCTTTTAGCAGACCATGGTACTCTTAGCATTCTTCTCCAACACCACAACTCAAAAATATCAACTCTTCTATGGTCTTCCTTATTCATTATCCAGCTCTCACATGCATAAGAGGGGATTGAAAACACCATGGCTTGGGTCAGGTGCACCTTAGTCTTCAAGGAGGCATCCTTGATCTTCATCTCTTGAAAGAAGTCTTCTGCAGCAGATTTGCCCAATGTAATAATACGTTGTCTGATGTCTTGACTGCTGCTTCCGTTGGTGTTGATTGTACAAACAAATAATACGAAGTCTTCGACAACTTCAGTCTTTTCTCCATCCACCGTGAAGCTGTTTATTGGACCAGTTGTGAGGATTTTTGTTTTCTTTATAATGAGGTATAAGCCATACTGCAGACTGTAGTCTTTAATGTTCAACAGTAAGTGCTTCAAGTCATCTTCACTTTCAGCAAGCAAAGTTGTGTCATCTACTATTGCAGATTGTTAATGAGTCTTCCTCAAATCTTGATGCTACATTCTTCTTCATATAATCCAGCTTCTCTGATTATTTGCTCAGCATACAAGTTGAATAAGTATGGTGAAAGGATACAACCTTGACACACTCCCTTCTTGATTTTGAACCAAGTAATGTCCCCTTGTTCAGTTTGAATGACAGCCTCCTGATCTATGTACAGGTTCCTCATGAGTACAACCAAGTGTTCTGGAATTCCCATTCTTCTCAATGTTATCCATAATTTGTTATGTTCCACACAATTGAATGTTTTTGCATAATCAATAAAACATAAGTAAACATCTTTCTGGTATTCTTTGCTTTCAGCCAAGATCCATCTAACATCAACAATGATATCCCTCATTCTACATCCTTTTCTGAATCCAGCTTGCATTTCTGGAAGCTCTCTGTCAATATACTGCTGCAACCGCTTTTGAATTATCTTCAGTAAGATTTTACTTGCATGTGATATTAATGATAGTGTTCAATAGTTTCCGCATTCTGTGGGATCACCTTTCTTTGGAATGGGTACGAATATGGATCTCTTCCAGTCAGTTGGTCAGGTGGCTGTCTTCAAAATCTCTTGACATAACTGAGTGCCTCCAGCAGGGCATCTGTTTATTGAAACATCTCAATGGATATTCTGTCAATTCCTTGAGCCCTGTTCTTCACCATTTCCTTCAGTGCAGCTTCAACTTCTTCCTTCAATACCTTTGGTTCTTGATCATATGCCACCTCCTGAAATGGATGAACATCGACCAGTTCTTTATGGTGCACTGACTCTGTGTATTCCTTCCATCTTCTTTTGATGTTTCCTGCATCATTTGATATTTTGCCCATAGAATCTTTCAGTATTGCAACTTGAGGGTTAAATTTTTTTCTCAGTTCCTTCAGCTTGAGAAATGCTGAATGTGTACTTCCCTTTTGGTTTTCTAACTCCAGGTCTTTGCACATTTCATTATAGTAATTGACTTTGTCTGATTGAGCTGCTCTTTGAAATCTTCTGTTCAGCTCTTTTATCTTGTCATTTCTTCCATTTCCTTTGGCTACTCTCCATTCAAGGACAAGTTTCAGAGTCTCTTCTGACATCCATTTTAGTCTTTTCTTTCTTTCTCATATTTTTATTGACCTCTTGCTTTCTTCATGGTTGATGATGCTCTTTATGTCATCCCACAATTCTTCTGGTTTTCGGTCATTGGAACTCAGTGCATCAAATCTATTCTTAAGATGGTCTCTAAATTCGGGAAGGATATATTCAGTTTTTCCCTTAGTTGTTCCTAACCCCTCTACACCTGCCTACCTCAAGCAACAGCCTTAATATAGAGCCACACCCTAGTGAAAAGCAGCCTTCAAGCCTCAGGCCTCCCTACCTCAGGCCCTGGCCTTTATATAGAGCCACACCCAAGGGAAAAGCAGCTCCCATCCCTGGACCCACCTACCTCAGGCCAGGCCTTAAAATAGAGCCACCCTCAAGGGAAAAGCAAGCCCAGGGCCCCCCTACCTCAAGCCCCAGCCTTAATATAGAGCCATCCCTAAGT